TGAACTGTTTGAGGGCCTATTTCATGGTGTTTGTGAGACATTTAAGGTTGGTGAAGAAACAGGAATTATTGGAAATGGGAAAGAAAGGCACAGCTTAGCTGTGGGAGTGAAAAGGAAGTAGAAATGTATCACCATGGCTCACCAAAACTTAAAAGAGTCAGCACGGGGGGGACAGCACTTAGTGGGCACTATCTTATATCTTATTCAGATGGGCTATGATAACCTAGCCTTCTGGGAGCGGATGCGTTTATTGTAACGGGTGCGTGGGTTTCTTAATGTGGTTTGAGGTGTGTTTGCTCAATATGGGTCATATGTTATATAGTACGTGAATGTAAGACAAGGGGATTTTTTCCCCATGCCGATTAGAGAAAAAAAACCCTTGTCTTGTATTCAAGTAAATACAGTCATTCTAAAACCAGGGACATGGAGTAAACAAGTCAGCAAGACAGGAAATTCTGTGTAAATTAGTGAAATTGTGTAAGGTGCAACTAAAATATCCTATGTTTTAAGTTCTCTGATAATAATAAAAAGAAAACACTACCCTGCGGCACTCATGCAATCATTGGATTCTCTCCTGATTAGAAGGTGTACATCAAAAGTACACCTTGGGAAACTCAGCACCCCCTAGTCTAAGTGTATCAGCCATTTTTAGTAACAAAATCCATCAGACATGCAACAATTCCAGGCACCGAGTATGAATGAAAAAAACCTAAAATCCCAGCTGTACCATAGGGCTGTCTTACACGACAAGGCATGAGTAATGATATTAACCCCCTACAGTTTAAAAAATAATGGCATTACCACATGACAGTTACTGCCTGATTCTTTGAAATCCCAGGGGGAAAGGGATAGCTTAAACCAGCAAATTAAAGAAAATTCTATGTTTCTCTAAAACATTTTGTACTGTCCTCAACCAAACACAGGATTATCAGTCTACACCTGGACAAGGGACATAATCTGACCAAAACCAGTGAGCCATATGGTGCCATCACTTTTTAAAGCATAACCCCTCAGTGGAAATAATATGTAATTGGGGTTTTATTCCTAAAATAAGTTGTTTCTACCAGCACTATAGGGACATGACTAGGCTCCTAGGACAAAGGGAAGTGATGAATTTCAGTTTGCAATTGTGAATGTGAAGCTACCAACAGCACCTTCCTTTTTTTTTGCACCCCCCACCCTTGCCAAGTTGGTGCCCAGGGTGGTTGCCCCTATCACCCTCCCCAGTGACGCCATTGGCTTCTACTCTGCTTAACTTATTTGACCTGATTCTTCCACAACTTATTTACCACTTGAGGAAATTAGAAATAACTCAAGGTCAACAGAATTATACCATACATAGATGAGAGCCAAATCAGGCCCATTTTATTTACGTTTTAGTGATCTTAGACAAAGTTTGTAGTCTGAATATATTTTGGTTAATCATATAGTTAACATAGTGTCCACTTCCAAAACACAGTGTTTATGTTTCAGCCATGTGACTCCCAATAAAGCTGTATAGTCAGCTCCTATGCAACACTTCCAAATTTATCCCGAAGAGTCAATCCAAACCACAAAGAATTAGGACAAAAGTATGCCATCCTTATACTCTGCAGATCTAAGATATTACAAAAGCAATTTATAAAGTCTCCAACAACCATGGCAAGAGCCTTTAATTCAAAATGGATTCAAGATATTATTTCAGATTGAACTAAATTCTCTTGATCTAATAGAAATTTTTTTAACACTAAACCAAATGTTGAGGCTCTTCGTAATATTTTACTGAGACAAGAATCACTTTCCTGAGATCTGTGAACGGAGGAGACTCTCCTCATGGAAACCATCCCATCCCAGAGGGACTTGGATGCCTTCAAAGTGATATCTGAGAAAATAATTCAGGGTTCTATGGTCTTTTCTGGCAGATGGGAAATGAGTAGGTATAGGAACATAGAGGTAGAGATAGCTCTGGCCTGGCACGGGTTTTTGGATCCCCAACAAGAGAGGGAGGAAAATCTTTACACCCAGTGGAATGTGGTGGGACATTTGCATGAAGATGTCCCTTGGTCCTTTACACAGAAGTTGTGGGCAAGCAGGGGAGAGAAGTTCTGGCTCTAGTGACTTTGGTGGCAGGATCAGTCAGGACTGATTAAACTGTGAATAAAAAACTGATGGCTGGGTTCTGCCACTCTTATTCCCATTAAGTACTTCTTTCCTGCCCAAGTGTCCCACCAACGTCAGTGGTAGCTCTCATGCAGTACAGTACCATGTGAGCCACAGTACCAGAATCTAGTCTTCAGTAAGAATTGCAAGATTTTCCATTATTTGGATGTTGTTTTAATGTCACTGGGAAGTGGGGGACATAGGAGAGGGATAACTAGGAGATCATCATAAAAAAAAAGAGAGAGAGAGGTGTTCCCTTGAGATCTGATTAAAGCTTATTGAAGTTAGTGGAAGGACTCCCATTGACTTCAATAGGCTTTGGATCAGGCCTTTGATGCAAGTTTAGAAATCCTTTGAACTCAATATCATTTCAATGCATCTCTTAATGTTTAACTGAGTTTAATATATTATAATAATATGTCCTTTGAAATACCTTCACTATTGTGGTTTGAACCTTTACAATCCGTGCCTATGAACAGTTCTGCGGTGTGTATTCTGCAATATGTATGTGCTGCATATTCATTCCATTTAACTATGTTTTGTATCTTATTCTTAACATGCATTCACAGTAGACAGGAAAGCAGCAGTTATGGGGTATGCTGTGAATGCATATTAACAGCAAGACAGATTTGCATATCATGGATCCACAATACAAAATGTATAGTAAAAATCCTTATGAAAAGTTATTATGCATGCATAGTAGATGCTTTTTAAACCTGGATATCTCAGCTATTTTGTTTCTCAGCAATTTACTAGAAAATACTAAAAAGGTCAAATGATGGATTAAGAGTCTGCAAAATATAATGTAACTGCTTTAGAGGAAATCCTTCCACACACACCAATTTATTTTATTTTAGTAATAATATAAAATACACCAAAATTATATTTTACAATAACATTTTAAGTGTTTTCTAAATAGTTGAACAGAAATAAAGAGACAAAGTATTTGTATTTTAGTTAATGTGTATTTTGGAGGATATGATTGAAAACTTTACAGTTCTTCCACTAACACAAATTTCATTTCAATCTTTCCTTAGGATTTTTAGTATGCATTGAAACAGTGTTCAGGTGATCAGAACTTCACGCATTTCGAATAGTGTGCATTGTGTAATAATCTGAATATGCAAAGTCTGTAAAAAGGTTGACAACCCTTAGGACCTTTCATAATATAAATCTTAATACATAATTTCCTATGAAGAGTAATGGGGTTTTAACCTTTGTTCTATTATACGGATTATACTATTCCATATAGAATGAAATCAATGTAATAAATAGTGCAGAACTTGCTCTCTCTAACATTAGCCTCTTAACTTTTAAAATCTTGGCCACTTCAAAAACATTTATGTTTAAAAATAGGCCCAACCTAGACAAAGTACTAATGACCTTCAGCTTCTCACTGCAAAAAGAAAATAAAGGTTGTGTGTTAACTGAGCTAAAGTGTCTAAAGTTCATGTGCACCTAGACACACACCTGCCCACATGCACATACATGTGCACACACACATGCAATTTTGCTGCCTCCTCCTCTACAAAAAAAAGCCCAGCCCAGATTTAAACAAAACTTTGAGAAAAAAATAATTGGATTGGGGACGAGAATATTAATGCCAAGCTTGGGCCCGATGTGAATTAAAGCAGATGAGTTATAAACCCTTCAAAAACAGGATTTATAATGGAAATGCTGACAAAGACCCATAACAATAGCAGCTCTGCCAGGGATTACTTTAATACTAAAACCGTATTCAATCTCACTTTTTAAAACAGAGATTACGGAGTCACTAAAAAGCTACAATACATGACAATAGTAAAAGAAAACTTTAAATATTTTTCTACCTTAGAAAGTGCATTCTCACTTTAACTCTTGCTAATATATTGCTTGCGTCTGACATATCACTCCTAAATAAAATAAAAAAGCACAAGGTGGAGTTTACCACAGGCTCCAAAGCCAGGCTTAGCTGAAAGGCTTTGTCAGCTTCATTTAACAGTTTCTTGTCTTGTTGATGAGAGAGACAAAAGGGTTAAGGCAGAAAGAACAGATAGTGCAAGAGAGACAGCTGACCGGGGAAGAGAAAATGAGACTAGAAAAACAGAATGAAGAAAGGAGAAGAAAAAGAAGCAGTTGGAAAATAGATATGCAGCTAAATATTTCAAATTTCATCTACATTTCTAAAACAGAAAAGACCTTTTAATTTTTATGGAAAAGGTTTAAGAGAAGGCAAGACACCTAGAAAGAAAAGTAAGAGGAAATGTTTCCGATTCTCACAAGTTATTAAGGGCTGCACAGGAAGCAATAGGTGAAAAGTGAGTGTATACATCTATCTCGCAAAGCGCTCGTTTCTAATGTCAGAACATGTTTACATTCTTGAAGCCTTTCATGATGTACTTCTAGTTTTCATCTAGTGTCTTTTCTTCTTTTTTCCAGGGATATTACAAAAAGTCACTGAGGAAAAGAATTTGAGTTTTTCTTCTATAGACCCCAGCAGGATGCTTTCTTCTATTATTTTGAGATCTGGAATAGCGCACAACCCTTTAAACACATGCACATGCACACACAAAGAGTGCTCACGAAAGTATCACCCAAGTATTATGCCCTCTTACACATAAAGCTAACCCTGTGTAGGTGTGCCCTAGTGCCTGCATTACTTTCTGATTTCTTGTTTCCTTTCACGGCTTTTTTTCTGGCTACCCAGATGCACAGATTGGGACCCTGTTCAATGCAACACAACACTTTAAATAAAGACTGTAATATTAACAACTACGGAGCAGTTGTACCTGCAGGTAGGGATAAAACTGAATGTTGGCATGTCTGACAGTATAGACTGACTGCTAAACAGAAGCAGCTCCAGTAGAAATGTACCTACTGTATGTAAAATGCTGGTGCAGATTTTTTTTCTCTCTATCACTCTAACCTTCTGTGTTGATACATGAATGCTGGTACCCACTTACAGGGATGCCAGATGATCAGTGCAGAATGTAGGTCCCAAGAGAAAGGATCACATGGTTTTCTCTGCCTTGTGACGTCACTAGCAGATGGCATGGGTACCAGCTCTGGCAGTTGGCATCAATGTCACTTTTTAGAGATCAATGAGATAGTGCAGATATACACAGATCTAGACTCCAGGAGACGATGCGACATTCAGACTGAAAAGATTTGGAAGGCAAAAAATGAAAACTGATTGTTGAATGAAATAAAAAGCTAAGGTAATATAAATAAAGATATGTTTCAGTTGGTGCTGGGTGTGCATGCAAGTGTTTAAAGATACAGTATCATTGTCTTGTATTTTATGTCTGCTGTTTACTACCTAATAACTTCTCCTAACATTTCATTCTAATGATGCAATTGCATACTTTCATTGGTATTATGTAATATTGCAAGTATATAGACAATACAAAGAGAGTTAATCTTTTATCTGGGTTTTTGTTTAGTTTTGTTCTATTAAAAGTCCCTGCATTATTTGTGCTTGTCTCTTGGAGAACTGTGGATCCAAGTGTTTGCTGTTGCAAAACTGAAATCCGAAACAAAATAAATAATTTGAAAAACAAATTATTTTCCAATTTCATTCTGGATTCTGAACACACGTGCACAATTGCAGTCAGAATCCACAGACCATTCCTGTCAGATATTAGCTGGAGGGAGACGTCTGAGCCTTGAAGAACATAAACACTGTTTATAGCGTGTAGGGGGGTTCCCCCCCCCACCTAATTGATTTTATTTTTTTTAAAGAAAGAAAAGAAAGGAAAAATTGTAATCTTGTTTTAGAATCTTTAAAAATAAAATACAAAGATTTTGTTACCAACTCTAATATGAATACGGTTAGCTCAGTCCTGCTTTTTTTGTTAATATGAAATAAATACTGTGTCACACATTTTCATATTGATCATTAGAAATCCTCACTTCATTTTTAATTAAGTTACTACATGATTCGTTTATCTTTTCTCCCATTAAAATTCTTTTCTAACCCATACTAAGTCACTGAACCGAAATATGTTGATTCATGAAAGATACATGTGAACAAACTTTGAAATAAAACTCAGAAGGTGATTTTTTTAAAACTGTATTTATCTTTCAGTTAATAGAGACATGTCACTTTTCCTTTGTAAGAGTGGTCTTGCTCTTCTCGTTTTTTTACCCAAGGGAATGTGAATTAATGGCATTTCTGCATTGCTTTATCATGTTTTTGCATTTCCTTAAATTCCACTAAGTTGAGGAAGGGAAATCTAAACCTTGTTTAAAATAAGATCTATAGATAGAGAATTAAGTATATCCTTTAAGTTATTTTATATGTTTAATCTACTGGTAAAACATTTACTTACATAGTGGTGACATATTGCATGTTTCAATGTTTTTATAACACTGGACAGCTAAATGCTCTTTAAAATATGTGGATATAAAAGCGTTTGCAATTGATAAATATATTTATTAGAAAATTGTGTTTTGTCTATTACATATACGTACATTTGTAGTTGTGTTCATATATTTATGCACACCATGTATATATACAAGCAAAAGGTATGAGATAATGTGTATGTAAGTATTTAAACTTTACAAATGGAAACATTTAAGCATTGTGCTGGCATTCTTTCAGGTAACGTAAGATTATAGAACCATGTTAACACTACCGTTTGATGAGTCTGTTGTAATGCCAGAATCCCAGATGTGCAGAAAGTTTTCCAGAGAAAGTGAGGACCAAAAGCAAATTAAAAATCCAGAAAGCTTTTCAAAGCAGATTGTACTCCGAGGAAAGAATATCAAAAGGGCCGCTGGCGAAGATACAGAAAAAGAAGAGGAGGAAGAAGACAGAGAGGAGGAGGATGAGAATGGTTTACCTAGAAGGAGGGGCCTTAGGAAAAAAAAGACAAGCAAGATAAGAATGGAGAGGATCAAATTCAGGCGACAAGAAGCCAATGCTAGAGAAAGGAACAGGATGCATGGCCTTAATGATGCTCTGGACAATTTAAGGAAAGTGGTCCCTTGTTATTCTAAAACACAAAAACTGTCTAAAATAGAAACATTGAGATTAGCCAAAAACTATATTTGGGCTCTTTCTGAAATCCTGCGAATTGGCAAGAGACCTGACTTACTCACGTTCGTCCAAAACCTGTGCAAAGGTCTGTCCCAGCCAACTACAAACTTGGTGGCGGGGTGCCTGCAGCTGAATGCTAGAAGTTTCTTGATGGGTCAAACTGGTGAAACTGCCCATCACACAAGGTCACCATATTCCAGCTTCTATCCTCCCTACCACAGCCCTGAGCTCAGCACTCCCCCAGGGCATGGAACTCTGGACAATTCCAAGTCTATGAAACCCTACAATTACTGCAGTACTTACGAGTCCTTCTATGAAAGCACTTCCCCTGAGTGTGCCAGCCCACAGTTTGAAGGTCCCTTAAGTCCTCCCCCAATTAACTATAATGGGATATTTTCCCTGAAGCAAGAAGAAGGCTTGGACTATGGCAAAAATTACAATTATGGCATGCATTACTGTGCAGTGCCACCCAGGGGTCCCCTTGGGCAGAGCTCCATGTTCAGGTTGCCTACAGAGAGCCACTTCCCTTACGACTTACATCTGCGCAGCCAGTCTCTCACCATGCAAGATGAATTAAATGCAGTTTTTCATAATTAATGAGGAAAATGAAAATAAACAGTGGTCATTCACCTCCCCATCTAATTAAGATAAAGCAGATGCTTGTGCACTACGTAATTGGCACAACTCTATTTAGCGTGTTTACTAGTTTCTAAAGTGTGTTTCAACTATTGTGGGAATTTTCTATGTAATAATAACTCTTTTTTCCTATAAGTATTTTTCCTTTTTTTTTTGTCTGTAAACACTGTGAGATTCTGTTTCTTACCAGAGAATTTCCCCCACCCCCTGCCTTTTTCTCCCTGTTCGCTTGATTTGTTGAACAGTGTGTCTAAACAATATCATTGAAATAAAGGCATACACACTGTATAAAGTCAATGTCTATTTTGATTGTACAATTTGTAATTATACAAATGCATGTTATTACATTCAGATGAATAAAAATAATGTATTTATAATGAGTAGAAATTATATATTATGTATTTAAGAAATGGATTTTAAAAATTCTGAAGAATTTTAAAAATCTATCCCTGAATTGAGATGGGCTTGTGGGTGTAGGGGTTGGGGGACAGCAATATTTAAAGCTATGCAAAAATAAAAAAAATGTTGGAGGATGAGAGGCCTGTAAGATTAAAAAAAAGGTGATCACCACTGACTGTTTGCTGACAGGGGCTAAATAATGTTAGACAATGTTGTCAAAATTTCACATCAGTTACTCTAAACCTAATCATACAATATCAGCACCTTTTTGTATTATTCTGATTTCAGATGTAAAGGTTTGTTATAACAATGTATAACTGTGGTTTCGCACTACATATTTTAAATGCAATTAAACAGAGATGTTTCCACTTTTAAAGTATATCTCTTAGCTGTGATACTGCCTTTTGCCTGATATTTATTTCCTAGTTCACAGCTGCCTTTGTTTTTCTTCCACAGCATTATTTCCAGCACACTCTTCATGCTTGCATTTGGATTTTGAAACCATGGGTAATTCTAGGAGTTTACTTTATATCACATTCAAATGCATATATTACCAGCACACATGAAGCACTGTAGATTTTCCCAGCTATGATTAGGGAACAGCTCTGGAGTGGAGCAGAGTGGACTTAGGGAGGATAGGGGCTAGGGAAGGGCATGTAAACTGTAGACTGATGGACATCACTGCTAGCTGCAAGTGAGAAAGTTGAATTGATTTAAACTACAAGCATGGATTTAAATTACCAGCATGATTTTAAACTGATTGAGTTTTGCTAAATCCGTGCTAACAGGCTTCATGGACTTTTATTTCCATTTAAGCTAGGCTTATCTCAGTTTGTCTTAAGAAAATCAGGAATAGCTTTAAGCTTGATTTAAATGTGCAGCTCTTAAGATGGAATAAAGGGAACATACAGGGGATGGCAACAGGTTAATTAAATTGGCACGGAAACTGATTGAAATTAAAACTGTGCAGTTTTTGCATGTAGTTGAGGCGCACAGTTTTTGAGATGTTAAATATCAACTGTACTGGCAAGCATTCTATATGGTATATTGATCCTGAAAAAGTTACAGGGCACAACATACCAAGTTATCAATTTTAAAAATAAAAATAATCATATCAAAAACAAGTTCCACATACAAGTTACTTGGTAATGAACAGAAACTGGACCACAGGGCTGGATGATGGTTTGTAAATGACTGATGAACTTCAGACTCTCCCACAAGTATGGAGCAGGCTGATAATTCTTGCCAACTACACTGCAGCCTCATGCCCAATTTCACAGGTAGTTCTAATTGTTAACATGCATTACTGGTGGCTGGTATTTATTTCTTCAGTACAATACCTTGTGGAGACCCTTTTCTTATAAATGACACTTGCCTTTTCCTTTAATTAAAGATAGGTCCAAGATACAATATTGGATTTAGATCCTAATAGTGAAAATTGGACACTGGAGGGTGTTTTGGATCCTGTCTTTGCTGTGGAATATTTCATTGTAGACACAGCTGTCTTTCATTATAAAAATAGAGATCTTAGTCCAAACTCCACCAAAACTTGGGGCTGTTGATTCCACAGTTTTGGCTTGGGTCTATTAAATTTCTGACCAGCAACAGGGCATGTCAAAGCAGCGGAGAGCAGGTTTTTATACTGAAAAGAGCTGGAAATGGTCATTAAAAAATAAATAATGATAATAATGATCATCTCAGAATCATCTCTAAGTTACTTGAACTGAATTGAGTAGAGATCCGTGGAACAGGGGAGAGAGAAGAGAGAGAAACAACCGTTTTCCTGGTATCTGCTTCTGTCTATGCAGATCCCAGCACTTAAAATACAAGCAGATGACAGAAGGCCACATGAGGGAGAAAGAGGTGACAGACGGTTGTATGAGAGAAAAAGCTGAATGCAAAGGACAGAAACATGTAGCCACTGGCACACTATCTGGGCATTGTCCTGAGCCTGAAATCAGGGAAAAAGCAAGGAGAAAATAACCACAGAGCACAATGCACCACTAACAGGAGGATCCAGGAACAAATGACCCTTGTATGGAGTGGTTCTCTAGGAGGCTGCCTCATGCATTTAGATTTTTGAATGCTAGGCTTTTTTAGCAGCAAGACAAAAGTGGAACATTACAAAGTGCACTTTCTACAATAGGATCAACCACCTAAGAAGTGTGTGTGTGTGTGTGTGTGTGTGCACGCGCGCACACACATGCACACACACACATGCACACGCACACATGAGTTGTGGGGGGAAGCTACATAAAAGATACAAAAGGTTGAAAACAGAGGGAAGTGAAAGCCTGCCACAATGCATTTAGCAAATGCAAGACCAACCCTGGGCACAGGTGAACCCTTCAAGCCCAATAATATGGGGGAGGTGGTATCTGGCTATGTGCTTCTATATTAAATCAGCAACTTATGAGCCAGTTCCAGTCTCCACTCTGGCTGCAAAACTAGGAGGAAGCAAAGAAAAAAATCCCGGCCAATCCAGGTCTTTCTCACCCAGCTCCAAGGAGTAGGACCACATAGGGAGGTAATTCACAGATAATCCCCCTCTGGTAGCTCAGAGAAGATGCCAGTCTTGCTCGTGACATTGCTAATCATAAAGCTAGCCCAGAGTAGAATGGTCAAACAAGCCATATAAAAAAAATCAAAAGGTGCAGAAACACACGTTCTTTGGCTGGGAAGTTTTGGAACATTTAGAAACATTGGATAAGGATTTCCTTTGCTTTCAGTCACAAACTCCTATGCCCTGCACCAGACCAGTCACAGAAAAATACATTTTCTAAATACTTAAATGCAATTTCTATTCCTTTTGGTGTACATTTGTAAAACACATGTCAAGAATGTCCAGTCAATTTAAGGGCCTCCAGTGAAGACCAAAGAATTCCCTTAAAGGTGTGTAAGCTTGCGAGGTACGGTTTGTAACAGCAAGGGCCACAAGGCAAAAGTCGACAGGAGAGTTTTTAACTTGTGTACAATGCAGAGAGAAGCAGGAAGCCCCACCGTGTTCTCCTCTTAACTGCAACCATTTCATTCAAGACAGTATATTGTATGACTGGCATATAAGGAAGGCAAATGAGACATTTCTATTCTTCCTGTCCCATAACACAACAATGTAGAGGAACTCAATCCAATTAGAAGGTGAAAACTTGAAAACAGATATAGGAAATACTTTTTCATGCAATGTGAAATTAGCTGATAGAACTCATTGTCACAGTATATCACCAAGGCAAAGAATTTAACAAGATTGCAAAGGGGCTTGGGCATTTATTTGGATAACAAGAATATCAGAGTTATAATAATTAACACTAACTAAACATTTGGACAAGACAACAAACTTCATTCTCCATGGCTTAAACTATTTCAAATTAGCCACATACCTGTCTACTACAGTGTTCTTACCCTTTCCCCAGAAACATCTGTTGGTGGACACTGTTGCAGTTGGGATACTAGACTGGATGGACCATGTTTCTGATCCAGCATGTCCTGTGCTCTCCAAATCATTTATCCTGATGTCTCTTATAGGTCCCTGCACTCTTTTGGGAGACTGGGACGGTATGTCCGAATCTAGCTGAGGTTTATACCCACTTTGCACACTTCTTCCCCTACACACATTTTAGGAAACAACCTTGTAGTGCCATCTTTCAGTCTGAATTCTTTGCATTTTATGTGGGAAATGAAAAAGACCCCCAACATATATTAAGATCGTGTGCACATAATAGCAACAGCAAAAATTTTACCAATGGATTTCCTCTCCCATTTCTACCCACTATACGCTTCTCTTATTCTCTTTGCCTTTAGAGCACTCATATGATGGCAAGTTTAATGAAATGCCAAAAAAAAAAAAGATACATAGGATCCCACTGAAACATATGGCAGAACCCTTCCTCAGGAAAATAACCAAATTTGAAGCTAGCCATGTGGATTTAGGTTTCAGATTATGGATCAGGAAGTTTGAATGTTTAGCTTCCAGATTTGCTTTTATGGTCCATAGTCAATGTCAAATCAGCTTTGAAGCGACAATACCAAAATCTTACATGATAGATAGTGTAACAAAATTCCAGGACAAAATGGGATAAGAAACCAGTTTTTAGATGTCTGCTACTCTGAGGTGAGATTTTATGAAAACATCAGTTCTCATGACATTTTAGCTACCTCAGGACCAGAAAGCATTATTTTGAATCTGACTCAGAACTGAATCATAGAGACAGTTTGAGATTTTGCTCTGGAGAGAAACAGATCTGCCTGGAGGGCAGCTGGCACAGTGCCATTGAATCTCAAGGGCAGGCCACGTCTTACTTATTCAAAGCTAACTGTATAACAAGGGGTTTAAGATGTGAGATTCAAGTTCTGAGCTCTCCTCTCCCTACAATGTAGCAAGCCTTCTCTCAAAATATTTTTGTTCCATGCCAGCAAGAAGAGTTATCTTATTTTCCTCCAAATCCTCTTGAAACAATAACCTGGAGGGAATGGGGAAGCCAAGTTTGTCAACAAAATGGCCTCTGCAGAATTAATGAGTTATTTATGCCAAGAATGAGCGAAAAGGACACCCCAAACAGCCACTTATGCTATATGGGATTAAAAGTGCTTGCAGCTTAGCTTCATCCAAAATAGTTCTTAACAGCCTGGTTCAATTTTTTTCTCCCAAAGCTCGTTTTACCTTTGGGCTGTTCTTCTTAGACTTGGTCTAACACTATGGCTTTCCCAACATAGGTAAATGGCCTACAGATTGGGTTGTGACAAAAATCACAACCACTAGGAGACTTACCACTGCTGTCAAGAGCTACCAGTTGGATGCAGCTAAGCCTGCAGAAAATGGCTTCAGTTATCAGAGCTTCTGTCATTTGGGGAGCTTGTGAAACAAAGTCTGCAAAAAAGCTCCTCTGGGTACATCTACACATGTGTTTTACTGCGGAGTTGACTAATTAGCTCCACAGTAAAGCATCACTGTCTACAAAGGCAGCACTATTAGCCCATAGTAAACTAATTCACTCCTCTGTAGGATAGTACTGTCTGGAACAAGTACTATCCTATGGCAGAATTATTTAGTGGCCATGATGCACATGTAGACAGTGACCAAGGCTGGTTGGGGCACAAGGGTGCTACAGTGCAGGGGCTGTCTGCTGGCTGCCCCACAGCCAGTGCCTCCATAGCGTGTTAAGCCCGGGTGGAGCAGCTCTAGGCTAGCAGGCTGACCCCAGGGCTCCCTGCCAGCTGGCACTGCTCTGCCCTTGCTCAATGTGCTGCAGTCCTGGACACGTGTGTAAATGTTGCACCCAGGAGCAATAAACTCTGGAATAAACTGTGCAGTAATATCATGTGCCGATGCACCCTCTGCTGCCTACACTGTGTCTCCACCAGGGGGTTCTGCCAATGTAG